TAATAGCAGCCAAAAAAATGTACACTCGCATAATGATTGTTTGCATACAGTAATAGGATTCTATTTCTATCATGCATTTTATCGCTGTAAAATCAGAAAACTATTAAAATGCAATTACATAATCTGGAATGCATACAATGTAGCTAAACATTGTTTACATCAAATAAAAAAAACTTTAGAATGAGTGTAACAATATAAATATAGCTTTTTACTGAAAACTAAATTATATTGTTATTGGTACTATATTGATATATTTTTTATTTTTTTGTTATAGTATGTGCGCTTAGATTACAGAACTGATCCAGAGATAATATGGAAGTTACTAACAGAACACTGGCGAATGAAACCACCCAATGTGTTAATATCAGTTACAGGTGGTGCTAAGGATTTTATACTGAAAGACAGACTGAGAGCTTTATTTCACAGAGGATTGATGAAGGCAGCTACTAGCACTGGTGAGTCAACATTAAACATGTAATTTAAGGTAGAGATGCAGGTTCGTGGGCACTTGGGAGTGACATTTTTTTTTTTTTTGCTTTTTATTATCCAAACAGTCTTGGCTATAGACTGTTAAAATTTTGTAGAAATGTGAATAGTGAAACATACTCAAAATACGATTTTAAAATATAGAAAACAGATACAAACATACTCACTTTTGAATTCTTAGCAAGATTTAGCAAGGCTGTAAATAAATAATCAAAAAGAAACATGGTGAAAAAAAGTAATGACGGGATCTCCATATTATGCGCTATATTTAACTTTTAACAAAACGACAATACATTTAAATTTGGAACTGTTACAGCCATTTTAATTATGAGCATTAGCAAACTTCTTACTGAGTGAATGGTTATGCAAATTAGCAATTATCTCAGCTTCTTTTTAGTGCACATCCCAGAACTTTGAAAAAAAAGTAGCTCCTAGACGCAGTGACCTTTTGTTTTGAAATTTTCACAATTGATTGACAATGTGTTTATCTTCAAAACACCGTCAGGACACTGTTCTTGGTTGAACAGTGTTACAACAATCTACAGACAACTAGCCTGGGTGTTAATTTATGCATAAACTTGAAGTAGTGAAATTTGAGCTGCTGCCCTGCAAAATTGACAACTGGTAGACAGTTTTCAAGACAGCACTTTCTTCATAGTAAACAGATGTTCCCATAAATCAATTTTGACAGGAAACAGAAGCATGGTTTAGAAGCTAATTTTTTTTAAATTCCCTTTGACCAAAAAAGCACTTTTTTGTGCACATTTCAAACTACAGTGTCCATAAACAAAATTTTAAATTCATACATTAAGCTTTGCAAAAATATATAGTCTTGTGGACAAGAGAGATCATCTTGGTTTCCTAATTAAGTAATTAAAATACCTGTCAGGTAAACTGCATCTCTACCTTAATCAATAAACACCTCTTGATGTCATTTAGTCAGTTTAATACCAGTAATTGTTTGTGAAGACACTACATATCAGATAAACACATAAATTATCATAATATACCTGGAAAAAGGTATTATCAATGGAATAAAATTGCAGACCAGTATTTTTAGTCTTCATTAGATGAAATCCGAAACAGATTTAGTTTTGTTCATTGATCATAACATTCATGCATCTGTCTATCATCATATCTATAGAAATTCTTGAACTGAGTTCAAAAGTTGGTGCAAAACCAAGTCATAATGGAATAAATATGCAAATTGATTCCTTTTTTTTAAAGTTTGATTTGACCTTTGATTGACTGCATGACAGCAATTTTTCCCCAACAAACTTCAAAAATTAACATTTGAACATGCCATCAACATTTGTTCAGACATACCTTGACTTATACAAAATTAGTATTCACTTATGGTGTGTTACTGATGCATGTCATTTTGTTTTGTGATTTGATTTAAAATATACAAAGGTAAGATAAGATAGGTTTAATGATGTCTGCGAATATTTTTGATTTTCCTAAAAAATGAAATCACAAAATTTGAACTTGTCATCAACTGTTTCTCTGAATGCCTGTGCCAAATTCATTCAAACTTGGTATTGACATTGCTCATGGTGATTTACTGGTGCATGTTAATTAATTTTGTGATTTGACTGGAGAATGGCTTTCACATGTCCTTAACCATTTCTCAAACATGGTATAACTGGTTTTTATATGAACAATAGACATGATGTTTTGTTTTGTTATTTGATTTGAAATATTTAACTGATTTATGTGTGATGTGAGAATCTTAGTCATTTTGACTGAATAAAACCTGGATAAGGTGGAATATGGAATGACATCATCTTGTTAACATTCTGAATACTCCCTGCTCATCTAATTATAATTCATCTGCATCTTTTATTGTTTACACTAAAAACTGAATGGGAACGATGTTATTGACAATGACATGTTCACATAAAATTAGAAACCCTCCATATGTATGTGTTAACTTAATCAAGTGAACTTTGTGAAATAATAATTTATAACAAAATAAACTATTTTGTTCTACATATCAATCTGTCATAACAACTAATTAGCCAAAATTAATTATCAGGTGTACTGAAGATATTTTGATTCTTTTAGTTTATCATTTTAAAATAATACTGAAAAATATTACATGACCTGTTGTTTGTGTATCAGGTGCTTGGATCATAACTGGTGGTACAGCAGAAGGGGTGATGAAGATAGTAGGTGAAGCTGTAGATGAGGAAGCCAAGGAACACACCCAGACTGAAGAGAAGCCTGTCTATGCATTAGGTATTGCCACATGGGGTATTGTAGACAACAAAGATGCATTGGATGGAAATAAGGTATGTATGGTGGAGTGTGTGAGTATGGTGATAGGGTGAGTGCTGCCACATGGGGTATTGTAGACAACAAAGATGCATTGGATGGAAATAAGGTATGTATGGTAGGAGTTTGTGAGTATGGTGATATGGGTGAGTGCTTGCCACATGGGGTATTGTAGACAACAAAGATGACTTGGAATGGAAATAAGGTATGTATGGTAGTGTTGTGAAGTATGGTGATATTGGTGAGTGCTGCCACATGGGGTATTGTAGACAACAAAGATGCATTGGATGGAAATAAGGTATGTTGGTGGAGTTTGTGAGTATGGTGATATGGGTGAGTG